ACACACACACACACACACACACACACACACACACACACACACACACACACGTATTCACTGCTCTCTTAAGGCTGCAAGCACCTCACCACAAGGTGGGTGGGAAAAGGAGTGAGTCACAGGATTCCCCCACCCCATTCTTCAGACTAACAGCAACCTTTTTCCACGAGGGGCTGGAGAGTGAGGCAGCCAGAGAAGAGGAAGTAGAAGGACAAGAAACAAAACAAAAAGGAGTCAGAGGAGAGAAGCTGTGGGGTGGGGTGGGGTCTTTAAATATTAGGGTGTAAGTAAGTGGACAGTGCTAAACAGATCATAGCATCACAACAGAAACATCAAAGATAATTTATGCCGGGCGGTGGTGGCGCACGCCTTTAATCCCAGCACTCAGGAGGCAGAGCTAGGCGGATCTCTGTGAGTTCGAGGCCAGCCTGGGCTCCAAAGCGAGTTCCAGGAAAGGCGCAAAGCTACACAGAGAAGCCCTGTCTCAAAAAACCAGAGAGAGAGAGAGAGAGAGAATTCAAGGGTGACCAAGGCTTTACCACACACGTCTCTTCTCTCTTCAGAATAACTGCTGTAAGGGGGAAGGTGGACAACATGGCTCAGGGCAGAGAGGCTCTTACAGAAGCTTGACACCTGAGTTCAATCCAGGAACCATGTTCAAGGTGGAAATGGAGAACTCCTCTCTGGTACAGGCACCCATATACACATATCATGCTCTCCCACATACTAGTTAATTCATTTTAAAGATAAAATAGCTGCTAAGAGCCAGCATGGTGGTGTACACCTGTGATTCTTTTACTGGGAGCTGAAAGCAGGAGGCTCAGGAGTCATCCTTGGCTACATAGCCACTTTCTGGTCAGCCTAAGCTACATGCAGTCCTTTCAATAGCAAATATATATATATATATATATAAACAAGTCAGATCTGGCACTCTAGAGGCAGAGGCAGGTAGATCTCTTTTGAGTCCAAGGCCAGCCTGGTCTACATAGCAAGTTTCTGGCCAGCCACAGATACATAGTGAGATTCTTTTCTCAAAAAAAAAAAAAAAAAAGCGCAACCGGGCGGTGGTGGTGCACGCCTTTAATCCCAGCACTTGGCAGGCAGAGGCAGGTGGATCTCTGTGAGTTCAAGGCCAGCCTGGTCTACAGAGCGAGATCCAGGACAGGCACCAAAACTACACAGAGAAACCCTGTCTCGAAAAACAAACAAAACAAAACAAACAAATCATATTTTAATGAGTTTTTATAAGTGCTTTTAATTTAAACAAAGCACCAAAAATGCCCTGGTACATTGACAGGTAAAAGCTTCCTTAAGTATAACAGGACTTCTCCCTTCTGTGACCTGGCTGAGGTCACCACTTTGATTGTTTATTTTTAAGAACACTAGTCATTTGCATGTTCAGAGTAAACTGATCTTTGAAAAGAGAGAGAGGGAGGGAGGGAGGGAGGAAGGGAGGGAGGAAGGAAGTCAAAAGAGTGTCCACATTACACTCCATCTTGTGATTCTTTACAGAAGGGGAGAATTTACAGAGTGTTAAGACCCAGAGAAGTCAGAGCCTTGTCCAAGGACATAGCTGGTCAGGGACACGAAACTCAATAACCAAGGAATTACAAACCACTTTCTAGCCATCCTGGATGCCCCTCTCAAACCCCATTAGGACTTCAGGAAGAAAAGCCACTGTGAGCCGACTGAGTCTTAGTTAACCTAATAAATAACCTCCTCCTCCTCCGGTCACTAGAGGAAAGGAGGAGCCTTACTGGAGCAGCCTGACTGGACATGTAAAGCTGCGGGGGGTGGGGGGGGCCGGGTTACGGACAAAGTCTCCTGGAAACATTGTGTGCCTCTGAGCACAGCAAGCAGAGCCTCAAACCTGCATTGAACCAGTTGCTCTGCCGGTTAAATCCGGTGGGTTCCACTCTGGCTGAAGCTGGGGCAAAGCTGACTCTGAGCAGCCAAGAACTCTCTCTCCTTCACCATTTAGCTGGGAGTGTCACTGCCAAGACAAGGAATGGTGATCCCTTCACTTCACGGCAGAGTACTACCAGGAGACTCACGAACCTATGCTTATGGCAGTGGAGTCCTTTATAAACAGAAGCATGGAACTTCCAGTTGCATAGAACTGCATGCAGCACATCTACACATCTAATGATGCAAACCAAAACATTTAGTTGATGAGTCAGTCGGGCATCAGACAAAGGCCTGCAGATGGTCATCTGTGCCAAGAGATCACTGTTTCTCAAAAACAAAAACAAAAACAAAAACAAAAACAACAGGCTTTGATGAGAGCAATACCTGTGAGCTCAATGCTTTGGAGGGAAGACTTTGTAAGCCACTGATTTATCATTTTAGTCTTTTGAGGCAGGGCTTCAGGTACCCCTGGCTGGTCTCCTACTTCCTAATTAGTCAAAGATGTCCTTGAATTCCTAATTCTACTGTTTCTGCCTCCCAACGCTGGGATGACGTGCTACCACACCTAGCTATAACTGAATTTTTTTTTAATGTGTATCTGTGTGTCTGTGTGAGAATATGCCATGTGTGTGAAGGTCTCTGTGGAGACCAGACACCAGAAGAGGGTGGTGAGTGCCCTGGAGCTATAACTAGAGGATGTTGTGAGCGACCCAACATGGGTGCTGGGAACCAAACTCAGGTACTCTGGAAGAACAGTGAGCGTTCTTAACCGCTGCGCCCTCTCTCCAGTCCCCATACTAGATTTTAAATCTCCAAAATAATGATTTTATTGGCCCAACTATTAATTTCACGTAAGAAAGAACCCACACCAGGTGAGGTGCTTACAGTCTCTCAAAAAATCAATACAGGGACTGAGATCTAAACCAAGACCTCTGAGGTCTGGGCTTGTGCCCTGTGCAATAGTCCTTCATGGCATGCTGTAGAAACCAAGATAGAATCATGGTGACTTATTTTAAGGCATATGGCAAAAACTCGTACAATTCCCAAAAACCTAGAGAAGTAGTGTCTATTAGAACTTTCAAAGATGGAAATATTCTATATTGTATGTGTGGTTCAAAATAGCAGCTACTAGCCACATGTGGCTATTGAATGCTGGAAATATAGCTAAGGCAATTAGGCAACTAGAATTTTGATGATATTTAATTTTAATTCATTTAAATATAGATGACACAATTTCAAAATATTCTGTTCCACTGTCCTCCAGACAATTGAGATGTCTCCTCAAACTAGATTAGATCACATATGGCACGTCTCTCACGATTGGAAAAAGCACAAAATTCCTGTTGGGCCATACAACCTCAAATTGCTCAGAAGATGTGTTTATCATGCCTGGTAAAGAACTGTGTTTAGCTCTAAGGAACATGAATATATTCTATTCCGGTTTCCCTACCCCAGGCTGTTGTGATATCAACAGAAGAGCTGGGACAGGAAGTGGGTTAGGTGGAAGTGGATTAGGAGGAGTGACGGGAGCAATAATCAATACAGTGTGATGCCTGTAGATGGGAAAATCGCAAAGCGCTCTGGGTGCTGCGACCCCTCCCACCGCTGCAGGCCCAGGAGAAGGCAAGGACTACAGCAAACTGCTCTCCACAGATTCCTGCGTCCGCTGGAATCTGCTTCTGTTTGACCTCCTCGGCCCTGCATTATCCCAACGACAATGGCAGGTACTTCCTCTCCAAACTAAAAGCCACTCAGCTATTTAGTGGAATAGCAAAATTGATTTAGTGTTGCTATGATCGAAGTCCTAGCTGAAGCATTAATAGCTATACATTTGATGGTCACAATTACAATGAACAGTTTGCTATTTACATATGAAGGGAGATTGGAAAAGAGTTTGCTCCTGACCTAAATATTGAGTGGTGAAGCCAAAGTCTGGGTCCTGAAGCTTTATAGAGCACTAGGAATTGAGCCTCTGGCTACACATGCCAGGCAAGCGCCCTGGCATGGAGCCACAGCTCAGTACATCTATATGATGCTCGCAACATAGACAGTACTAAACTAATGTTCTTAGACGAATGAATGAACCAGTGAAAGAAACATTAGCAAATATGTTCAAGCCATCTATTAATAAATATAATAACATGTTTCCATAATTAAGACTTTCAGCCTTAAACAAAGCTGTCATTTGGTGAAAACACTGCCTGTGACTCCTCTCTGAGTAAAACTAAAATGCATGAGATTCACACCTATGAAAAACTTAACACATCCACTACAGGCTGTCATTCATGATACAAAGAAGCAGAAAGGCAGTTTAAATAAACCATTAATTAAAACTATCAATGAAATAATCAATGACCCTTTGAAATAATTCCCTAGTCTCCCTTTTGTTTTCTCCTATCAGTTGGGTTCCTTTCTTTTTCCCTCCGAGACAGGGTTTCTCTATGTAGCTTTGCGTCTTTCCTGGATCTTGCTCAGTAGACCAGGCTGGCCTCGAACTCACAGAGATCCGTCTGTCTCTGCCTTCTGAGTGCTAGGATTAAAGGCATGCGCCACCACCGCCCGGCTCAGTTGGGTTCTTTAAGGGCCACATGCTCACTTCTTTTATGTTTGCATTCAGAGACAGCAGCCATACACACACAGAAAGACCCGTATCCAGCGGCCAAGATGGCAAACATGTCCTGGCTTCTAAACTGTGTATGTATGTATGTACGTACATATGTATGTATGTATTACAGTGCTGGGGGTTGAAGCCAGGGCCTTGTGCATGCTGCGTTAGCACTCTCTCACTGTATACCACATGCCTAAACTGCTCTTTTGTCTCTAGATTCTTCCACTTGCCAGTCTATATTCATCATAATCATTCTCAGACAATAGATTCAAAATCTTGCTACCCGGTGCCCATTGTCTTTACACACTCCCTTTCTGTACCACGGCAAATAGACATTCTTTGTGTCCGGCTCTGAAGGCCTCCCCTGGGATCACCTCTATCCAGGCTGGAAGGCTCCTAGATTTCTCAGCTCATTTTCACGTCTGAGCTTTTCCACTGCCTCCCTGCTTCAGGTGCTCCACACCCTCCCCCTCCTCCCCTGCTGTCCACATGGCCAGCATGCCCCCTTCAGGCTCTGCTTTCTCCAGGAAACTTCTCCGGCCACACTTTTGTTTGGGAGTTTTGTTTTGTTTTCTTTCTCTTCCTTTTATTCTTTTAAATGTTGAGAATTAGCCAGGGTTTTATGCATGCTAACTGAGGCCCTCTTCTAACCACTCTTGATTTTAATCTGTTTTCCTCATCTCCAGATACCCATGGCTCATTCCTGCTTCTCCTTCAGATCCCTGCCCTAATGTTCTTTTAGACCTTGGTCCTTCACTCACTATTCTATTTTAAATGACAATACTCCCTCATACTCGCACTCTTATGTGCCTCTGGCTGTTTTATTTTTATTTTTCCCAATAGCCTTCATCATCACCTTGGATATTCTGAGTTTACTTGTTTTTTGTTTTTTTTTTTCTGTGTGGGGAGTGGGTGGGTACATATGTGTGCATGTAGGCACTTGTGTACATGTGTATTCATGCAAGTAGAGGCCAGAGGTCAGGTGACATCTACCTTATTTATGAGACAAGGTCTTTCACTGGTACTTGGGGCGCACCAGCCAGCTCCTGGAGTCTGCCTGTCTCCGCCTCCTCAGGACTGTGACTAAAAGTGGGCACCACTACACTGGCTTCTTTACAGGAGTTCTGGGATCAGATTTAGCTCCTTGTGCTTTCTGAAGAGACTTTACGGAGCCCATCTCCCCAACCCTCTTTTTTTCCCCCCTTTAAGGATAACCTCAAATTGGCTATCCTCCTGCCTCAGCCTCCCAGGTGCAGCAGTTGTAGGCTTGTACCACCACATCCCACTTATTGTTCACTTGTCATTAGCTTTTCCCTGCTCATAAGGGAAGCTCACCATGGAATTTTGTATGTTTTGTTACTGGTTTATCCCAGAACTAAGAATGTTTATTGTCTGGTACATTGTAGATGTTAAATACCAAACTGGCTGAATTCACTAATCCTTTTTTTTTTTTTTTTTAATGAAAAGATAGGTGGGACTGAGTAGATGCCCAGTGGTTTAAAGCACTTATTAATCTTGAAGAAGGCATGGATTTGATTCCCGGAACCCACATGGCGACTCACAAACCCTCCATAACTCCAGCTCCAGGGGATCTGACATCCTTTCTGACTTCCATGGACACCATGGACTCATGTGGCATGCAAACATACAGATGAAAAGATACTGATATGCATAAAATAAAATAAACCTAAAAAAAAGATTCAAAAACCAAACCAAGTATGGTGTCACATGCCTGTAATCCCAGCACTGGGAGGTGGCTGGCTGCAGGAGGAGCCAGAGTTTAATGTGATCTTTGGCTATACGGTGAGTTCAAGGTCAGCCTGGACCATATAAGACCATGCCTTAAAAAAAAAAGGTCTAAGCCAAGCCTAATAGCACTGACCTATATAATCCCAGCTCTTCAGGAAGCTGAGGTAGGAGGTTCACACATTCAAGGTCTAGGTGGGCTCCAGAGAGAGTTCAAGGTTATTTTGGCAATTTAATAAGACCATGCTTCAAAAACAAACCATGTTTTACAAGGCCTGCAGATACAGCTGAGTGCTAAAGTGTTTTCTTGGCTTGTGTGAGACCCTAAACTCAATCCTTAGCACTGGAAAAACAAACAAACAAAAAACAGATAAATAAATCCAAAGGTCTAGTACTTCAGTACGCCATCAGTTAGCCCTTACAGTTCATGTAAGGCTCTGGATCTTTGTCTCTTACGATACTCACCAGCCAAATATAACCTGTGGTATCCTCTTGTATTTTCTTTTCCTTTACCCATGTATTCTTTCATTTAATATATGTTGGGTCCCTATTATTATATGTTTATATGCCAGGCACTATTCTTTTAGCAAAAAAAAAAAAAAAAAAACTGAAGAACTGAAAGATCCACTTATGTATACACATCATTTACCGAGTCAAGAACCAAGGCTGGAGGAGAGAATAGAAAAACTGAACTCAGCATTAGGTGAGTCTAGAGGAGGGGACAGAATGCACAGGGTGTGTGACAGCCAGAGATGGGCAGAAGGAAAAACAAGGCAGAGTGGTGACAGACCATGGTAGAATGTTGCCAAAGTAACCACCAGATGGCAGTGCTTAATACACACTGTGCCAAGGCAGATATGCAAATGTATTCTACACATTTTTTTTTTTTTAAAATCACATGTCAAATTGTCTGCCAAATAGCCCGTGGTTGAAAATCGGATCAAGACAGCGACATCTGGTGGATATTTTGGAAGTGACCTTTGGGTCTCTCTACTAGGACAAGACCTGAAGTGCTCCTTCCCTCCTGTCAATCACTACTGGCCTCACTGTTACTAATTACACTAGCAAAAACCAGTCTTTCATTAGGACCCAGGGTCTTCACATCTCAGGATCCAGATTTCTGACATTCAGCTGCCCTCTGAGGGATGTACGCAAAATCTGAAATCCCAATTCTTCCTTTATAGGTTACTTATTCTATAAAATGTTCATATTGCCCAATGGTGGTGGTGCACGCCTTTAATCCCAGCACTCGGGAGGCAGAGCCAGGTGGATCTCTGTGAGTTTGAGGCCAGCCTGGGCTACAGAGTGAGATCCAGAACAGGCACCAAAAGTACACAGAGAAACCCTGTCTCGGAAAAAAAAAAAAAAAAAAAACAATAAAATAAAATAAATGTTCATATCTGGTTATATGGAACCAGCTTGCTTTGTACTGAAGCAACAAGAACAATTTTTGCATTGAAAAATAATCCAACATGTGTTCTTCCTCCAAGAGCGTGGCTGTGAAAATTGGACTCTCTTTTCAACTCCATTGACCATTGGTGCAGCAGGAACCAGACATGACTAGTCCCTGAACACACTGTTTTGATCCACTTAGAAAAAAAATGATTTTTAAAATTTTTTTCCTGTGGGGAAGGGTTCTGTACCCTGAAAACTCTCTCTTTTTTCTTCTGTTTAAAGCTTTATCTTGGCCTGGTGGTGGTGGTGGCAGCGGCGGCGGCGGCGGCGGCGGCGGCGGCGGCGGCGCACACCTTTAATCCCAGCACTTGGGGAGTAGAGGCAGGCAGATCTCTGCGAGTTTGAGACCAGCCTTGTCTACAGAGCTAGTCCCAGGACAGCCAGGGTGGTTGCAGAGGGAAACCCTGTCTCAAAAAACCAACCAACCAACCACCAAAAAGCCCCCAAAACAAAACTGTATCTGGGCTGGAGAGATGGTCAAAGGTTAAGGGTGCTGCCATTACAAGGGATCAGATTCCATTCAATTTCCAACCCCCACTCACATGCACAATCACACACATATAAGAAAAAAATAAAGTCTTTGACTAGAATTATACCAAGTCATTCTATTATAATGTTATTTAATGTATAAATTGTATTTTGTTATACATAATAAAGTATGGTTTAAAGGAACAAAAATAAAATACCAACCCATGGGTGAAAAAAAAGTTCCTATCTTTTCAAGTAATCTGAAGTTGCTTATTTTCTTTTTTAAACATGTGAATGTTTTCCTGCATGTGTCTGTTCACTTCATGCATTCTTGAGCACCATGGAGGTCAGAAGATCCCCTGGAACTGGAGTAACAGACAGCTGTGAGCTGTCATGTGGGTGCTGGGAATCAAATCTAAGTCCTCTTCAAAAGTAGTCAGGGCTCTTCACCACAGAGCCATCTCTCTGGCCCCCAAGCTGCTTATTTTCAATGTGAGTGGTGGAGAGATTTAGAAGTCCAACAAAAAGGAGCCGATAAATGGTCAAGACGATTATAGCGGATGGAGGCACGGTAGTGCATACTTGGAATTTCAGATCTCCACAGGTTGAGGCAGGAGGAGGAGTCCCTCATGTTTGAGGCCAGCCTGAGCTACACAATGGTCCTAATGCCAGACGAGGATACCTAGCAAAACTCTGCCTCAAAAAGTCACTCTGCAGGGGCTGAAGAGATGACTCAGCTGTTCAGAGCACAGGCTGCTCTTCCAGAGGACCCAGGATGGATTCCCAGCACCTACATGCCAGCTCTCAATTGTCTGCAACTCCAGTTTCAAGGGATTGAACACCCTCCTCTGGCCTCTGTCAGCACCAGGCATGTGGTGCACAGACGTACATGGAGGCAAAACACCCATACGCACAGAGTAAAATAATAAAATCATAAAATGAAAGATAAATAAACATTGGACAAAGTTAACAACATCAAAGCTCGTGTATAATAGGATCTCACGGAAAACATTTGCAGAGATGAAAAGACTGGAAGAATATAGCCTAGAATATTCACAGTTTGCTTTTGGACGGGAGACTTATGGGTTATTTTTAAATGTTTTAAATCATAATTTGCAATGTTTCTCAAATGTTCTGTAATTAACATTATTTTTGAACAAACTTTAAACAATGCATATATACTGACTAACAGCTAGAGTTTTCCAATCTCAGCCTGGTTTTTATTAATTCCAGGAAAGAAAATAAGGAACTGATGCCCAAGTGAGCTGGAATTTCTAGAAGGAGGAGGAACAAAGAAGGAGTCACCGCACTCCTGAGCAGCGCCACGCTCGTGTGAGGTCATCACACTCCTGAGCAGCGCCACGCTCATGTGAGGTCATCACACTCCTGAGCAGCGCCACGCTCGTGTGAGGTCACCACACTCCTG